CAGCGGTAAGGGAGACTACCCGCTTTACAGAAAGGCAAGCTATGATTTTCTGCAGAGAAATTCCTCAACCAACCAGTATAAAAAAACCCTTCAGAAATTAAACATCTAGATGGCAAGCACCTAAAGTAAGTGTTTGAATAACAGCTACAAATCAATAACCTTGCAAGGGCAGTAGTAAACTGGTATGTTTCAAAGCACGTAGTAATAAAATTCAAGACCAACTTGGGAAAAAACTTCATGGTCACAATGAAAACAATGAACAGATTAAGAATTCAATTATTTCAATTTATCTTGTGAAACTGGATAAAACTGAATGAGCAGAACTCCCAATGAATCTCCAAATATTATTTTGAAATTACATTGATACAATCTATTATATTAATATTACCACATTTTGAGATTACTACACTCTTAAATAACATAATAGAAATAAAAACAAAGTTTACCAAAATCAGCTAGGTAACTAAACCTTCAACATCTAATAAACAATATATTACATAAGAAATAAACAGAAATCATAAGATGAGATGTGCATCAGTGGTTAAATGAATCCAGTGGAAAAAAAAAAATAATTAAGGAAAGAGGTAGGCTTAACTTAAGAAGGGATAGGGACATCAACCAAACTTACTTCCTGTTCATGAGATGTCTGATTAATGAATGCATGCTTTGTGAAATTCATCTCTTTAACGTCTATCTTCCTAACAACATCATATACTTTTCTGACCTTGAACACCTGACTTCTTGGAGTTTTATTTCCATTGTAGCCCATGTCATTTCCATTACTGGGAGAGGATGGGCCAATGCGAAAGACATGGCAAAATATCCTCACGATCCTTAAGAGACTCTTCATTTGAGCTTCATAATTACTTGACAAGCTGGGGGAAAAAATGGAATATTTAAGTTTCTTTTCCTAGATGAAACAATTTACTATATTAAGGAGTAAGCAATCTAATGGTAGGGTCTGACACACATGCTAAAAAAACCCCTAAGCTTTACAGCCTAGTGAATTTCGACTTTCATTTCCTGCACCAGCCCCAAAAGTCAAATATAAGCACTACAATTTTACTAACATGTACTCATAATTTTAACTAGAAGTGAAATAAGAACATCAAATTCCAGATCTTGCAAAATACTTCATTTGTTTTTACACATATGTACACTTCTTTATGAACAGCTGGTCAGAAATTCAGCTTACTACAGGAAGGATCTCAATGTATGAAACAAACTTGCATATCCAGATGAAAAAGTTTTTCAATCCAGAAAAGACAGCATCCAATGATAAAAGCATACTGACTAATCAGATAAGCTGCCACAGCCCATCCTCACCTAGCTATTATCCTAAACGCCCATTAACTACCTCAATCAGACAAGGGATCAGGATGGTAAAGATGCCACTATTTCTACGCAAGAGAAACATCATCTAAAAGATAGTACACAAAAGCACCAATGTTATTTACCTAACAAATATATTAAAAGTTTTATGTCATCTTAGCTGAACTGGCCAACACTGAACTCTGTACCAATAGTGTGGAATGAGATATTCATGAGTTCATGCACAAGCAGAACACTCTCAACCAAATTCAACTTGGTTTTCTTTCCTTAAATCCCAAGTAGTAAGAATTCTTCCATCTTTTTGCTAACAAAAACTGCAAGAAATCAAAACTTTTTCTACTGAATTCTACTCATTTATAAGTGAGCACATATTCAATTCTACCCTTAAAGTACTTGCAACTTAAAAGCATGCTTTCTAAATATAAGATCAGTATACACCAGAAAACTGACATCCTGGAGGATTCTGTAAGCTTCTGATGCAATTAATATTCTGTTAATTCACAAATCTGAAACATAGCTAGTTGTAACACCACAGTACCTTTATCATGACCTCGCTCTCCCTATGGCATGGGTAAAAGCAAAAGACCTATTTGTTTTTAGCACTACCGTTTAATGACTGCCAGTGAGGTGTTAATTTTAAAAAGCCACATACTAAGGATTTTACCAAACTGATATACAAAGCATGACTTTCTTGTCACAATCTAGACTTTAACCATAGAAGTTTTCAGTAAATCAAGGTAAGAAAGGAACACAAAAAGTAAAAGAGTGCAACAGTAGGCATGTTAAGTTTTTAACTGGGTAAAGAAAATCCCCTGACTAGCAGGCTGTAGTTATATTACCAGAAGCTCTGGTCACAGCCACAAATCAGTATTCGTAAAGTCTTTGCTTATATACCAAAAGAATCTATGAATACAAGCAGCTAACCGAAGTGTTGATTAAAAAAAAAAAAAAAAACCACAACACATTTTGATTAGTTTCTCATCCCTCAACAGCAACGTTTTCTTGGTGAAATTTCAGTTTAAATATCCTGGTCTCCAGGAAGAGGACCCACATATATAGGAAAACCTTAAAGTGTTTTTAATAGTTTACTGAAGCTTTTACTAGCATGTTTGTAAACATTCAACTAGGCCAAATCTGCACCAGCAAGACCAAATCATGTCACACTACAATTATTTCTTGGAAAGAGGAAATACATGATGGAGGTAATGCTAACTGAACAGGCTCCTTGCTAATATTCCAGGCAGAAGTCCTCAGGCAGGAGTTTGATGGCACTCCTGGCTACCTGCTAGAAGCATTACAAAAAACAACTTTAGACCCTTTTGAACTACACAACAAACAAACCCAAGAGCAATGTGCTGCAGGTTAGCACACAGGAAACTAACAGCGATGATACTAGCTCAGCCATGCAAGAGTATCATTATGGGAGGTTTTCATGTACAGAGTGCATTTCACATACTGTTTGCTGGAAGGAGGAGAGAGGCCCAAGCTCAGAGGATCTATATTCACCAAGTACTACCTTCATTCTCATTATGTTAATAATAAAGCAACTGGGAAATACTTAGTTGAAGTAGATATTGAAGCATGTGACAGGGAACAGAGTTGGAGAGAACAGAGACACAGTTTTTGTGAAACTATATTGTAACAGAAAAAGAAAATAATTCTATTTCCCTTGTGACATATTACAAAGTACCAAAGAGAAGTGGGCCAGTAAGAGTCCACAGGACACCCTAAGTACAGGCATCTCTGGAAATGCCTGCTCAACCAACGCAATGCAAAGCTTCCAACTTGACTTCAGCCTCCACTAGTCCGCCCACATGCAGCAGTACAGGAGTACATACTGGTTCAAATTCAGAGACAGTAGAGGCACATAGGTACTGTTTCTACAGCCATAGTGAAGGAGCATTGCTCCATACAGAGAAGCAGTAACAGTAATAAATAAAATCTAAACATACAATCAGTTTAATATATCTCTGAAGATACTGAAATAGAAACAAATACTGCCTCGTGTGATCTAATCCAGCTACCATGACTTCTGATGTCCCCATACAAAGGAAGTTTGAAATGCATTCTGCATTTCCTGCAGAATGGTTTTACACTTCATCACAGTTTACTTGTGGGAGATCTATTGGCTCTAATGAAGTCTGGAGACAAAAGGGATGTGTTGCAAGTTAAGCTGATTACACACTGAAGCCCAACAACAGCTGAAGTTATCTTTGCAGCGACAAAATGTCATTAATATGTCTATGCACTTTAACCCCAAACATTTGAGGGGTTTAAGTCTTTTATGCTCATTTATCAACGTGAACACCCATCAGAACAAGACTGTGATTAACAGTGTCATGAACTTCCTGGCATTGTCTAGCAGTTCTGACCTGCTATCTGCAAGCTCCATCCAAATTTAATGTGACTGATGGGGAAGAAAAAAAAAAAAACATCTACAACTAAGAACATATGATTTAGTCTCCACCTAACTGATGGGCTCCTCATGCCCCAGCCCCAGTTGAAAAGAAGCATTCAAAGTCTTATTCCTCTACAACCTACGCTGACATGCCTCTCTGGTTACAGGACACTCAAACCTCTCTTTTCCAAAAAGCCATCCAGAACATGTAAGGAACTTCCACTCATGCTTTCAGGCTCTTGACCTCTTTCAGTAAAGATTTTCTTAGCTTCGAGTAAAGCATAAAGGTTAGAGCAAATTCTGCTAGCTTTTGAAAACAGTAAAAAGTTACTGGTGTTCCAACTGATTACAGATGAGGTGTTTTGCACAAACTCCCTCAAAGAGATGCCACAAAAACTAGGAAAGCATACTAGGAAAATATGCTTGGCTATTTTCTGTTTCCCCAAGTAACAGCTTCTTGCGCTGCTGAGACAGCACACTGAGAGATGAAATTTTTTGTTTCATATGTATTAGTAGCCATGGAAGGCAGTCAGAGCCAGCAAACATGGGAAAAGTGTCTGAAGGAACAAAACTCTCCTCAAACATACTAAGAAAGCATGCAGAAAAGTAAAGATGTGGAAGAGAAAAAAAAAAAGGAGAGGCGGGGAAAAAAGGAATGATTGATAGTTGGCTAAAAAGCTTCCCTTCCTAGAGCTGACATAGCCAAACTAACCGAACAAAAAATACATTTCTCTGCATCTCAAGCTTCTAGGCGCCAGCAGCTATGCAAGGACACCAACCTTCTCTCCTGCAGTCCTCATGAAGACAGGGATCTAAACAGGCACTATCATACAGAATCAGATTTGAGATCATCTACTCCAGCATGTGCCCAGCATCAGATAGTTTAGATTATTAAAACTACTAAGCGGCACTAACTACCAGGCAGCTTATCAACCTACTTATGATCCTCTCACACTTACCTAAGCAGTTTGTGACCATTTGTTGTAGCAACTTCAGCAAGACTTGTTAGGATTTTAAGATACTGGCTTTCACTCTGCTGAGACAAGTGTTCCAGAACCTGCCGCAACTGATATATTAAAAACAAAAGAAATTGCATAGTGTCATGGAGCGTCAGATCAACGTTTAATTTAGAACATTATCCATTATCACTCAAGCATTAAGATCTAGCAATAATGTACATCCATATTGTCCAGCATCTAATCTAACCCCAGTTAACGTTTCATTGTAATTTACAGAGATTACTGAAAAGGTATACATTCTAGTATCAATCTATGTACTACAGAATATATAATATTATAGAATACTATGAATGCTGAACACTTAAGCATGTGTTACTAATTCATAAGAACAACTTATTTTCATCTGAAAAATTAGTGGGATACCCTTTCAACTTCTGAAAGCTAAAAGCATGTTTTGAGTTTCATAATTCATAATTTACCTGTCTCCCCAGTTCACTCCTTGGTTAGTTTATGACACGGTGTAAATGAACCAAGCTTGGATCCTAGAGTTCGCTCTCACTACCTTCATTTTTGCTCAAGATACTGAATGTGGTTCCTTGGATAAGAAGTCATACCCTGCTAATCAATAATTGTTATGATTACCCTCTTCTCAAAATTGTCCTTTTTCTTGCTAATACCATCACTTGGCTCACAAAGACTAGATATTGCAGACCCCCAGATACTGCCCTGTCTTCAACTCCTTTGTTCTACACTTCTCTCTAGCCTCAACATTTTTTTTCCAGATAAACTAACTCTTCAGTGGCACTGCTATTCATACATTTCTATTGTATCCTCATTTACTCCCTCCTCTCTCACTTCCAGAAAGTTCAGTAATCAGTCTCACCTCCTCCTGTAGAAAGGTGGAATGAAAAGGAATCTCATAAAGGTCATCTAGTCCAACACTCTGCCCCAAGACAGGAGCATTTGTATCTGAAATCCAAACTGGCTTGCCCAATTTGCCTGCCTGGTTTTCAGATGTCTTCCATTCTAGAAGCCCTGCAGCTTCACTAACTGATCTCTTCTCATACTTCACTGTCCTTGACTATGTGAAAGTTTTTCCTCAAGGTTCAGTTGAATCTCTAGCTACAAATGACTAAGGCAGTATCTTTCTCCCCACAGTCTGTCGATAATTTTTTCCAGTTTGTCAAGAACATTTAAAGTGTGAGTCCTGACTTCTAACACACATCCAGTCTCTTCATGTCATCACTTTCAGATAAAATTAACTGGCCATCATCCAAAACTTTGGACAAAATAGCTCAGACTTGGCCATAAAAAAACCCTACACTTAAAATATACTTCTGTTTTGGCAATGAAGCATAACTATACCATGTATTATCTAATATATTTTGCATACCCTCATATTTTGCATGCCCTCTCCAAAAACATTCATTTTCGTTGCTTACTGTCTTCACTTCTACAATATACAATAACATGCTTTGCCTTTCTGTAGTAAGTCTTTTTTGTTCCATTGCTTTAGTTCTTTAACTTTCTCTTATTTCAATCATCCACACCATCTCCCATGATTCTAATATACACTTTGAGAATTCTCTCCCCGTCATTTTACTTTGTAAAACTCAACCCTGTCTCAGAAATTTGAACAGTTTCTATATAGAATTACAAATCCTCAGTCTTGTAGTGAAAGTAATGGGATGAGAGAGAACAATAAAAACTTCAGAAATCCAGCAAATCAAGTTCAGTGAAGTGGCAGCCCATACCTTACTAAATCTATTTTTTTTTTTTTAAATTTACAGTCTGTAAAATTGTTTGTGGTTATTTTCAACCAAACAATATATTAAAAATCCACAGCTAGCTAGATTTGGAAGGGGAAAAAAGCACCCCATGCTTCCTTCCCCCTACACAATCAAGAAGCAAAAGTTAATTTTCCTTGCTTTTTCTTTGCTTTAGATTGCACTACACAATAATAAAAGAAACAAAGTATAGAAGAACCACTGAAAAAGGAACAGAATAGTTTCATCTACAGCAATAATAACCAAATGAAATTGCGGCTGCAATCTTTTACACTCTAATTGTACAAGGCAACTTCATACAGATGAGTGCTCATGCTCTGAATGTTCAAGTTCATTCTAGATGATTCAAGCCTCAAGACACATCCTAGAATGCATATCTGCAGATAACCACCAAATGAAGGAAAACAGGCCCCATTACACACAGTAATTGTATATATAGAATGTTCTACCAGCACATTTGTATTGAAGCTTGCAACAAGTCTGCTCTTTCAATTGCCAAATACGCAAAGTTAGAACACTAAATTAAAATAGATCCTACATTTAATCCCAAATTCTTGTGTTCAAAACTATGTGAAGACTGTACATTTTCCATGGGGGAAAGGAATGTATATAGTGGTCAACTACTGTGGCACTGACAGTCAACTGCTGGTAGTGTCTTCTAATCACGACACTCATATTAAACAATCAGATCTCCACAACACAGACAGATCAGTAACTATACAACATGTAATACTGTATTACCATGTTTTCCCGTAGATCTTCATTCTGTGTCATTTGAATTATTGTCTGGAAAAGTCGAGGATGGTATTGTATTAAGACTTCACAAGTCTCTCCATAACCACCCTGAAAAGCAATAGTTCAAAAATCATTTTAATTAAAAGAAACATTAGAATTGGGGTTTATACTATTATAGGCATTAAAACCTACTGTGGATTACAAATTTTTTTTTTTTCTTAAATGCTGAATGGAGAAATCCAGTTGTAAAATAAAATGAAATTCAATAATGTATCAAAGTTAGATATCACAAAACCTTCAGGAGAAGACAGAATCAAATTCTTTCTGTATTTTGGCTCACATATATCCGCTCCCTTTCTCCTGTGTTTTGAAACACTTTCCTACTTAGAAAGCCAAAGTTATATCTGAGCATCCCTTCACCTAACAATTTACCAGAGATTAAAAACAGTGCAATATTTAGCTTCTCTTTCCATTGCTGATGGATGACACACATCTAATTACGCCCAGAATCTAATCCTTCAGAACAAATACTTTCCTAAAGGTTCATAAGGCACAAATCTGACTTGTTAAAGGAAGAAATAGGATAAACCCATGAAAGGCTTAGTTAACTTTAAAATCAATACACAAGTATGATTCCACTTCTGCCTTATATCAACAGCTCAGACTAACTTCACACCTTGCAAGAAGAATTTTTTTTTGAAAGCGCAGAACTTGAATTTGTGGTTTATTTGTATCAAATACTATTTAACACAGATGCATTTTTAAGCAGGCACCTAACACCCAAATACACATCAAATTCTACACTGGAAAGACGACCACATATTGTATTAAATGCTGCAACTCCAGAAGCTCCTTCTCTTTCCATGACAGTTTATAACTCGCTTCAGTGAAAACGGATTCATTAAACAGATTCATTTAATTGTTCCTGGTGCCAAGAAATTAAGTATTAAAACCACCCAGAATCTGTAAGAATTAATGAAAAGTCAGCTCCTCAAAAATCAAGGTAATACCATGTTGGCAAGTATATGACTATAATTTCAGTCTTCTAAAAACACGTATCTACTCTGAAAAGCAAACCTGTAAGCAAAGAATAAAACCCTTGATGTAAAAGGAAAGAAATTTTTTTTTCTCCTTTTTCACTTAGTATCATGAACTTTTAAACTAGATCATCTCAAACACTACATCATCACTACAAAACAGCAAACACTAGGTGTCACTACTTGCACCTAAAAAAAGCTGACAATTTTATGTATAAAGTGGTGCCCTAGGGATTGTAAAACTGGAGACTGAAGCAGACCGTCGAAACACTAGTCATAAAAACTAAGAATAGTATCATTAAGTACGCAGGGGTATACTGTCTTACAGGTCTGTAGCTGCAGAGAGCCTCAAAATTGACATGTGGTTTTATGGTAACAGCAAGTCATTTTGCTATAGTAAAGAAAAAAAAAAATCGCACTCCAAGCTTCACAGTTGAGTCAGTAGTGAGACAATAAAGTGATCTGACACTTCGGAGTGCTCAGAGCTGAGGACTTATTAGGATTTCTTATATGCAAAAAGAAATGCTGTAAGTAACCTAATCTGACCAAGACCTTCCACAGATAGTCTATGAAACAAATTTTTCAGAGTTAGACATTCCAAAAATACCCCACAGGTACCGGAGACAGCAATCTCTACCACATGCACATAGCTACTTCAACTGCAGGTCTGAGGCACATGAGGAATCTTCAGAAATGAAATAACTCGAGATTAAAATAATCTGCTAGTACAGCAAAAGATTTGAACATTTCAACTTTATGCTGCCAAACTAATGACATGCACCAAGGTAATGTGATGTCCACCAAGTGCAGTGATTTCTTTTACAGCCTCCAGTTCACAGCGTTCTAGTCTGCTCATTACTAGCAAAGGTTCAAAACCTTCCATCCATTATTACATGTTATTTACACACTGACCTTAAACTGATCCTACAGAAAAATGTGTAAGTGTTCACAAATAAAGAAAAGACACCCTACCAAGCAGTATAAACAATATTTGGTATCAAACAAGAAAGACTGCGTTTTGCACAGTAGTTAAAAATGCTTAAGACTTTTGTTCCTCATCCAGATACAGTATTTGGAATACCTTTGAAAAGTAACAGAGTCAGCACCATGTACATTTTGTTTGTTTTTATTAGCAATATCTCTTCAAGAAAAAAGAAAAATCTATTGGGGGGTGGGGGGGAGGAAATCACTCCTTTCTGCACACCTTTACCTCTTAGTTGTTAATAGTCAAGCACCTAAACAGAGTCTATTACCATTATACCAAGGTTTCCCAAACTTTCTACTCAAATGGAGTTCTGCAAACTCTTTGTTTCTCATGAGCTCCAATCTTGCAAAGTCTTTAATGTTAAGACTTTTGTAAAGGGTATAAATTGGGAACCTGCCCATAGGATCAATTTAATTGCAAAAAGTTTTTGCTTTTCTGTTTTGCCAAAGGACTACCATCTTTCATAGGCCTTAAAAATAAAAAAGACAACACCGATCAGGTGGCACGGTAGTAAGTGATAGAAGTTCACAGAAAAAGCGTGTTAGTCTGGGTCCTAATAGTGTCGTTAACTCAATACCTGTACACAGAGATCCAGTGGAGTAATACCATTTTTGTCCGGTAAATATTTGGCTCCTCTCATCAAAAGAATTTGTGCAGTGTCTCTCTGACCGTGGCTATTTAAAAGAAGAGAAGAAAGAGTTAATACAGCACTTATGCTCTACTATGAGTGATAAATCTGACTTTATTGCATCTAACAGAGAAAACCAACATCAGCTAGGAGAAAACAAATAGTTATGTTATGAAACTAAGCAGAAACACAGGATGGAAGATAATGTCACTTATATTCTTCTACTACCTTTCAAGGCCACTGCAGAAGCACAGTGCAAAATTAGGTGTGGGCCATTTATCAAGCCAGAGTCACCCTCATCATTCAGAAATTATTCATCTTAGCCTAGACTTGTAAATATGTATGAGCTGCATTTCCTGAAAAAAAAAAAAGAAGAGCTCTTTTGCAATTCATACCCTAATTTACTTCACACACAGTTTTCTTCACTGAGTTCTTTGCTCATTCCTACCAGATTTGGGGAAAATAATCCAATTTTGCTTTAGCCATCAGTAAAACATTAGTAAGGTTTGGTTTTTTTTTTTTTTTTTTTAATTGGTAAAACATCTTCTTTTGCACAAGAGTTCAATACATCACTCTTGGCTCTAATTTCTTTTAACCAGTACATGTGAATGTTTTGCCTAGCCTTTAAATGTGAAGAACGATGAGTTTTACTTTTCCATTCAGAGTCTGTTTCACAGTCTCACTCATCTATTTATAGGTTGGTATAGGACACTTATGTTTCCTTGAGTCAAGAATTTCACAACCAACTATTCCAACAGGCCATCATTGCCTAGAAAAAAATAAGGCCAAAGATTATTTATATCCCTCAACAGCTAGAGTATGTACTTTCCAAAGCCCTTTCTTCTGAAGAAAATGAGAAACTGGGTACCAGTGATTAGAGTTGACTTCATTAAAAACACACTGAAGACTGTTGCCTTCACCAATATTTAGTGCATACACTGATAAAAGTAATACAGAAGTATCTAAAGAGCGAAACGAAAGACTGATACAAAAGACACAGCAATTAAGGTTACAGATACAAGTTTTTCAATGAATTTTGAGATCGCAAGCTAGTTTGCAGCGTGCCCTTTACACAAATGTATATGAATATTTGCTGTCCTGGAACACACCAAGGCTGCCTGCCCTAATGGTTCAGGAAGGGCACAGAAAAAGTGACAATTAACAGCTGAGGGGCAAGAGGCAGCTTCACTGGTCTCTCAATAGTTCCCAGATGAGTCCTCCTCGTTCATGTCCTTCCAGCCCAGGAAACCAACAGGTTAACTAATGTACCAGACTGCCCCGACACAAAGAGAGTCAGCTACCCGATCTCAGAAAGGAGCTAAGACTAATGGCCTACTTGAAGCACCTCTTCACTGTAATTCTCTAGACTAAGTGCACAACCCAACACCTTAAAAAAAAAAAAAAAAAGGCGGGGGGGGGGGGGGCTTTGAGCACCAATACCCTTTCTCCAGCCATCGCCAGCCACTGCTACCACATCATGCTCTTCCTGTCATCAGGGACCTATAACCTTTCTTCCCGGGTGGTAGCACCACCAGCTGGCACTTCTGACAAGGAGATGCTGACATCCACTATGCACCCTATTCATTCTACTCTGCCAGCCACTCCAGTTGTTAATTTCTAAAGTAACATGACCACTGCACTTGCAACACATTCCCTTCTCAGGGAAAACCTCCAAGCTGAGGCAAGTTGCTTACTTCTTTTAAAGCCAATACCAGTCCCTAAATCAAGCACCAAGGCATTCAATTAGCTAGCAGCTGTTTATTCTCCACTTCCCTTCTCAACTGCCAAGAAGTCATCATACACTAGGCTCCAGAGACCAGGGCTCCCACAACATAACTCTTGGCAGGCCACCAGGTCAGTCCATTTCTCCTTTTGTTTATATTAACATTTAATCATAGGTGAACTATTTAACCTGTAACCAAAACAGGGATTATAAAATTGTAAATGTTCTACCAAATAGCAGAAATGCTCCAATTAAAACAAAAGGTCATTTATCATATGTGGTTAGTTTTGAAATAAAACTAAACTGTGAAGAAAACAGAACTGATCAAAGCAACAATATAATTTCAACATTGTAACTTTAAGGCATATATGCACATTTCATGTACACTATAATACAACAATGTACATTGAAGAATAGTCAAGCTTGCCTTATAAAAGGCTGCATTTTTAGTTTACTCAAAATAATCTTAAGTTGGTAGATCCCATTTTTTCAGAGAAAAAGTTCAGCAGTCATTGACTTACGACTCATGCTAGAACACGCACGGCTATGCGTTTAACATGTCTGTTAGAAAGAGGTATATAAGCCTGCAGTACTAAGATAAGTATTTAGATGAGTCACCAAACTACACTGAAACATGAGGCAAGATTAAATACCAGTCAGCTTTTGCATTTTCTAAATTTTGTGCTTTCTAATCATTGTTACTGCAGAAGGTGGGGGGGGGGAAAAACGGGGGTTAAGCACAGTATTAAAAAGTTAAGAATACATACCTGCAAGCAAAATAGAGCGGAGTTGCCCCTGACACATTCGGCCTGTTTATATCTGCACCGCTGTCTAGCAAACACTGCACCGTCTAGAACAGAAGAAAACACCAGCATTAGAAAAAAAGCAACAGAAACGTCTATTGGCTTGCAACTATTTAGTGTCTAATTACACTGAAGGATTTAATTTTCAGTAATGAATCTCAAAACCAAAATTCCTAAACACTATATGGAAAATTATGGCTGTCAGAGCTCATAAAGCTTCCTTTGAACTTCCCGTTTTAATAACAATGCCTTTTATTGAACTTCAGCTAATCCCAAAGATCCCTGGAACTACAAGCCATTTAGAAAAGAAAACAACTTTTTAGAAAAGTAAATCTCAAGTTAGTGACAGCCATAGACAACCTTAACACAAGCTGAAGTTTTAAACACACACTAGAAGAAATAAGTAAGCAAATTCTAAAATGTGAAAACGTTGAGCAGACTTTCAAACAACTTTTGCTATATTCCAGTCACATAAAGTAGGTAAGTCTATAGATAACAGTTTCTTAGAATTTGGTCTTCCAAAGTTGAGCTCTGACAATGAGAACAGAAAGGATCTAGGTAGAAAGAAAGGGGTTTTTTAACAGTAAATAGTGCTGGAGACAATCTGTATAATTCAAGATCACTACTCTACGTGGCTGTAATGCAGTTCAAGTAAAGCATCCAGACTGTACTCCAAGAGTAAATAGTCAGCCCTAATGCAAGGCCAGGTCTAAAAATTATTTACAGAGATCAATAAGAGAAGAGTCTATGTGAACTTGTTTACTTCTAATGTTCGATATTTAACTGACCCAACTCTGCATTCATTTTTTATTCACAGTAAATTAAGATCATTTCAGATTTCAAAAGCATATGATAGAACGTACAATTATGAATCAAACACATTCTAAAAAGTAAGAACATTTTCCAATGTTCAACCTTACATCAAAACCTGCAATCAACAAGGCAATAATAGTACTACAGAACAGCTGAATAGTATACAGTAAGTCACTTAAACTTCCATAAACACCAAGATCAATCATCTCCACAAGAATAAATTAGTTGTTCCCATGGAAGTGTATGCAGTCAATACTAAGACAAACAATAGAGTTCTTCACGCTTCTAACCTTTATCATGTGCATGACTAGCCTGAAGTTTATAAAAAAACCACACACAACAACACTGAGGCTTTACCCAATTCTTCACAAATCCAATGTGTTAATAAAATTCAGGAACTTACTGTCTTGTGTCCGTTCTGACAAGCTACATGAAGGGCTGTCTGTCCCATTGCATCTTCAACATCTACATTACTAACATGCTGAACAAGATCATGAAGCAATTCTGTTCGGCCATTGACAGCCAACCAATGAATCTAAATAGAAAACGATGATATGTTTCCTTTAGCAATTTCATAAATATGATTTTAAACCTGACTGTACTACTGTCAATATTTTCACAAAGAGAAGCTTTGAACAATACTATCATATGCTTAGGTTCTTCGATCACATCTTTTGATTCTTAAGGGCACTGGATACACAGCAGTTTTGTTTATTTACATGTAAGATGGCAGAAGCTTAAGAAATGAGAATCTTCAAATTCTTCATTCATTTTAAGAGCACCATGAAAACAAATAGCACTTACTGCAGTCAAGCCTTCATTATTACAAATGTTGACATCTGCACTGTATTCCAGCAGCTTGCTCATACATTTCTTCTGGCTATAAACAAAAGAATACATTAAAATGCAGCCAGGGAAAATAATTTATGAAGACAGAGTATCTTCTTAGAGCTCCACTCACTCTAATTCATCATTGCACAAACCACAGCAGGTAGTTTTACTTTACAAGGAGTATGGTACTGAGCATGTGAAAAAAGTGATCATCAGTGGCACCAGAGACCCATACAGTGCAAATGTAGCATATGATAGCACAGGGCTAAAAACACAGTTGTGTAGCTGAATGTTTTTGTGGAAAGTGTAGAAGTACTTCACCACCACTCTAACAGCTTTAGCTCAGCATGAACTACGCTCTCAAGACGAGAAGCTAGAGTTCCACTAATGGAAACCCATGAAGTTCATCATAGTCTGTACACTTCATAGTCTGTTCACTTCTGTGAACACATTTACAGTACAGCACTAAATCATTATTTAATGAGACACTCATTGTAACACTATGTAAATCTTTGGCAAGTACAATAACTGCCTTAATGAAAGTAGGGGTGTTTTTCCTACTTCATGGGGTTTTTTTGTCTTTTAATGCTCTCTAATGCTCTAAGTGCTTTTACCCTTAAGAGTTTATTCTTACTTTTCCTTTTTATTTGGTACCTCTCACACCTTTCTCATGCCTCCTTTCCACATAACTGTCTCCTGTGTGTATTTCTGCATTTCATCATGTACCACTTGGCTGCTTCTTCCTCCCTTCTCCTACAAATACTCCTCCCACATACCTAAAAGCCACTAAATGCTACCTCCTCATTTGAAATGCCAGCCATGATACAATTCAGTTACTGTAACACATACACGCTCTGAAAAGAAAAAGACAACATTATCATTGTGTGTTTTCACATACTACAATTCAAGAAATAGGATCTTAAAAGATCTTAAAAAGGTGCTTGCTCACTGTTTTGTGGTTCCCCCCCCTCCTTCTCCTAATGCTGTGCAGACAAACTTTGTACTCCTTTCCTTGTAGTAAAAATTTCCTTGGAGATACTATCTGAGAAAAATCTGAAAACTCTGAACCCTTCCAAACCTTCCAGTGTCCTCTTCAAAATCTTTTCTTACTTAGCTAACTGGAAGGTGAATGCATCCCCTGTTCCATCACTGTTGTAAGAATCATTAAGCTCCTGCTTAACAGAAAACAATAAAATGACTGGCACTGAAATTGGCAGTTCCTATTTTACGAAATTATTTCCTGAATATTCAAAGTATGGATTTTAACCTCCACGTTCCCTGCAAGTGTGCCACCCCTATTTTCAAAAGTGAAAATCAAAGTATTTTGTTTGAACTACGCAAAAATATTACAGAACATGTCAGCTCAAGTGCATTATGCACAAAACATTTTTAAGAGGTTTTTTTCTTACCCATTCCTTGCTGCTAAATGGAGAGGTGTGCATCCTGAAATGTCCTGATAGTTTGGATTTGCCCCTTTTTTTAATAATAGAACAAGACATTCAACTGATCCACAGCTAAGAACAAAATAAGGAAGGGAAAAACTGTAACAACGATATTTACAAACCAAAGATATATTGACACAAAGACAACAGCAATACTATGTACAGATTACATTCAGTAGAAAATCTTAACACAAAGCTGTTTTTACACCCCATATTTCGTTACACAAAGCTAAAGGAAAGACACTTAAATGCAGTGAGAACTGACTGATCATAACTTGTACTAATAAATAGGTGCTAGCCTTCTATGTGATTTTAGTGACTTCAAAACCCAAGGGTGAATCTTTAAGACTGCCAATTGTTTAAAATGCAAACTGTTTCAAGTGTTCTGCTTACTATTTCCTCTCACCTCCCTCACCTTTAATCTATTCACAGGACTGAATTTTCCATTACATAACAATTCCGATGTAATTTTTTTTTGTTATGCTTCAGTGTCTGGAAGTTACATTTAGAAGTTTAAATATCAGAAGAATTCTAAAACTCATACAAAAATTTCTTTGCTATTTGTTTTGAATCTGTAACTCACTTTTACTTTTCATAATATAGCAGCTCTTCAGGATAATCAGTGTCACCAAGAACACAAACTTTGCATTATACATGCATCTTATGCCTGAACTCTTCAAGAAGAAGAGCTGATTGGGAGGATAAACACACAGTATTTTTGCATTTGTCACGACCAGGTTATCCATTATTACTAGTTTTCCCAATGACAGAACTGCTACACAGCCACCCAAAGAAACTGAAGACAAGCTGTACAAGTTGCAAAACCAGCATCTCGACAACCTCTTAATGACACAACAACTAGCCAAGATAAAAGAGAATCCAGAAACTAAGTGTAACACAATTTCTTGGGGTTTATGATCAATAAATACAGTTTTTCAAAAATACTGCTAAGATTCATGCTAAAAATTTGCTTGCATTTTTTTCTTTAAGTACTTCCTTAAGTAAATTTTATATAAGCAGCATGTAATTCTGAGATGGAATATTTGGGAAACAGATATTTCTAAAACAGTCTGCTTCGAAAGCTGGAACTTATACCTTTATTGTGCCCAAATACGTGCTATTTATATGCAATACTACTACTATTTCTTTTATTTTTACTTTTTTTTTTTTAACAGTTTAAATGTACAAACTTTCAAGTTATTTAAAATGGGACCCAAATATAGAACATTCATTCATTAGTTTAAAGTTTAGTTTCCTGAAAGGCTATTTCAAAAACTAACTGGTTCATTTCTATTAAGGTTGTGTTAATCTGGCTGTTTCTTGGCAATATAGATTTATCCCCACTGAAGAGCAACATAAATAATAAACAATCTAAGTCATGGATTTGAAATTTGCACTTAAGTCCTTTATCAAGGATACAAAAATTTATTAGAAGTGACTGGCCAAGTTATATCCCCTTCAGTTATGATCACATGAAGTACTTCAGAACAGCTGCTTCCCAATGAACATCCAAGTGCTTCCCACTGTTTTAGAATACTTCAAAAACAAGCAGCACCTGCAGACAAGGCTTCTCTAAATCTACAAAGGCAAGAGTAACCCAGCTATACAGGATACACGTAATGGCTACAGTTCTTCACAGACTGAGATTTCACAGAAAGGAAAAAAAGTATCCACCTTCACTAGAATCTGGAAAGCCATTTGATATCGTGTGTAAAACCTGTCCTCTCAATGAGGCAGAAACGTTGCTAAAAGAACAAACAAAATACAAAAAAGAAGTGTAAAAACAAAATGTTAACTGATACTACAGAGTTTTCCAGCTTACATTGGTGCCTTAGATTTGTGGTAATACTTTCATTGTTAACTTCTGGACTGGACTCAAGTAAGTCTTACTTTGCTGCAATATGAAGCAAACTTCTCTTCACACGTCCAAATGCATAATTCACATCAAATTTTGAATTTGACAGCAGCTCTGAGACAGACCTTCAAAGAGAAATACAATTTTAGTTAGGAAATAGTTCACAATATCCAAGCAAAGTATATACAGTAACTTGTACAGAAGTACTCTATTTCTTACTTGATCACTATTTCTTTTCCCTCCAACTAATTTCTGAACAAGAAATCGAACAGCTTTCAAGCATCTGCATATTAACAGTACTTTTACTCTCTCACTTGTACATAAAAAAAAAAATGAACTGTGACAATGAGCAACTGTTTCAAATGTAAACTAGTAAGAATTACAGCAGATGGCCAAATCACTTCTTACAAATATGGAAAACAAGCATATTAACAGCATTGGTTTGAAAAACAATAAATTACCATTTTCCTCCTTATCTCAACACAGATACCCTAACCAGATATCCAGCAGCTTTCCCAAACATAGGCAAAGTTCACAAGGAAGACTGGTATGTGAAATCATGATGAAGTAGAAGGACACACGATATGCCAATGTGATAAGAAATTTAAATAGGACCCTTCAAGCCCTAATGAATTAGTAAAGATAAAATATTAGTTAAGACAAAATATTTAAAAACAGGCAAAACTGCAAGTGAACTGGTGATTTCAACCTCCAGTAATGAGCTGATCACATAATTTAAAACCCTTGGACACAACAGCAACAAGATATTATGTAGCAGAACAAATGCTCATCCTGATTAGATAAACAGTGAGTTTCAGTAAGAGTTACTACCTGCTTGCCTACACAACTCAGCAGACAGTAGCAGCACTAAGCTGGCACTACACAGCCCCCAGGTCCCAACCACTTTGAGGACAACTGAGTAAGAGAAACAGCTGCTCATCTGAGGAATCCAGAAATATCACTCTCATAGTGGAACAAGATCTTATGCCATGTGTTTCCGAGACATCTAATGAGACTAAGAGCTTCTATGTCATCAATAAATATACACTCAGAGCTACAACCCAGTTACAAAACAATGCTTTTGTTCTTATCATAGCACAAATTTCTCTATGTGCATCAACAGAACAAATCCCAGGTCCAGTCTATGGCATAAAATAAAACAGGTCTCTCGGATAAGAATATGCTGGGATGCACACAGTCAGTGACTAACTTCAGCTACAGAAGCTATCTCAGCAATTCAGCAGCAGAACTCCTGCATGCGCTCTAGCAGCTACAACTTTACAAAACATGCTGGTTTTTCAGACCTTAAAAAAAAAAAACAACAGAAATTTAAAGAAGCTTTCACCTGTGCTGGTCAGCCATAACCATCGGCATTAGTGTATAGACAGCAGTTTCATTATCTGTGAAAAAAATTAAAGTACTCCGTTATCATAAAGAAATCTTTTATGTAAAATAAATTCATCTAGCAATATGTATTTACCTTTTACAGTGTCCATTGTTCAAAAGATCATTCTTTTTTACAAAGGTTATATGTACCTAAAATTTCATTATAAAGAAAAAGCCACCATACTTAGATGGAAGAGGTAACAGAATTGCAATACATGAAATTGCAATGTGGCTTTTTTTCTTTAACAAAGTAATAATTACAGAATTTTCAATGAAGCATCCATTTCTTTAAATTGACAATTCTGTTAATTAAGCCAAAGTATTTAAGAAACGTGCATTAACAAAAAAAAAGTAAATAGCTTAAAAAAAGAAGGAAACTGCTGGTGTTTCAAGGTGACTTCCATAGCCCTGATACCTACGCATTTGTAAAAATGATTTAGGTTACTCCACAACTGTTCATTTTTGTCTCTAAACTTGAATACCTGAATGCAATAAATTTCATTTTAATTTCTAATCAGTTTCATATTCCACACCTGATGGCAATGAAAAAAGGCCAGAACACAAAGATGCAAGTCAATGGTGGGAACAGAGTGACATTTGGCTATACAGTCTCTGTCAGTACAACTGCTGCGCGTACCAGCACACTGCATGGGTATGACGTGCCTGTTTGGTCACTTACAGACTTTCTGGAGTAAAACCTTATTTTTAAAGGATGAATTTGACAAAACTTAAAAGGCTTTAATATTATTAATAATTACTATACGTTAATGTATAATATTATTATTAATAATTATTATTGACGTATAATGATTATGTTTTCTAGCTTGACACAAACTACCCATTGTTGGGAGTACAATCTCCACAGACTCTTCACATAGACACTGGCTTATGACAGGAGGGACTACACTTTCTGAGAACCCAGGTTATGGTTCCAGGATATGGAAATATAGGACTGTTCTCGTAAAACATTTATTTTGAACTTTTTCCTTATCATCTTAAATGATCCAAATACCAAAGTTACAAAGCAATCAGAACAGTAAGAATTAAAACAGACCCAAACAAGTGTAGCTTCTCATACCTTTTACATACCATGCTTCTATACCTTCACTACTTCCACTAGACAGGCAAGCTGACATTTACCAAATATTAAACAAAGAATTCTTCAGAGTTATCAAGTTGAGTCAGAGAAACCCTTATCATACTGCAGCTATGTTATTAATGATTAGTCTTCTACAGAGTTCCAAGATTAGTGCTGCTACCCACTATTTGAAGCAGTCTGCCTGTAGCTAACAAAAGAAAGAAGCAATGCTAATCCATTATTACCTTTGAACACTGAGAAGAGGTAAGTCATATCCAAATTCAAATCACATTAATTCTGTTATTTATAAAAATGAAAAAAAAAACCCACCACCAAAACAGTGTTGCTTACAGTGAGTGCATGGTGAAGAGACACGAGCCTCTCAAAACATCAAATGACTTTTGAAAGCTGCAGACAGTAATTCTAACTATTACCAAGTTCAAGACTTTGAACTGTCTACAGACTGTTCCTTATGGCAGAGCTCTGTGAGCATCAGATAACTCCATCCTCAATATGCACTACTAGAATTTGACTGCTGGGGGGGCAGGAGGGCAGGCTGGGAGGGAGGGGACACACACAGCAGGAGAGTCCTGGAAATAAAATTAAATAGATGCTAAATAGAGATATCAATTGTGGAAAAGATTTGATCACTTTTTAAAAAAAATGTATCTGTGATTAGCTCCCAGTATACACAAATGAAAAAAAATTTCTCTTGCTTGAGCTCTGTTCCACAGATCTCTTGGCAGGAAGATGAAGCTCTCCAACTGAAACAAGAAGAGAACTTGAGAACACCAACCAAATCTGAGCATGACATCCTTACATATTCTCACTCTCATGCCCTATTCAAGAGAAGAGGCCAAAAAAAAGTTTCAAATATACAAGCTTAACTGAAATGCTTAATATTGATCCTAATTAAATTTAACTATATTGCAAGTATAGTGATCTATAAAAAGATAATAGTTAAATATGAGTGTAGCTGGGCCATAAAAGCTGTTTATGGTACAGTTACAAAACTAAGCCCTTGCTATTCTATTAACAGAATCTACTCTGTGGAGCATATGCAGATTTTCCTGTACAGAAATACAGGTACAAGGGTGTGGAACTAAGGAGATTTTGTGCCTGTTTTTGGTAAATATTACCCCTATTCATAAACAAACTCCTATTGACTTAAAGTAAAAGTACATGACACTAGGGAGAGAAAAAGCATCGCATGCCTCATGCACTTACAGAACTTATTTGTTATCTAACTTGTTTGCACATCAAACCATGACTAAAGACAAAAAAAGCACCCAAAATGCAGAGTCAAGCAACAAAGGGCCCAAAACCTACAACTTCGGGCTGCAAGGCCTAGTTTTCAGGCACTGAGCCTTAACAGTAGAATCCAGAAATTTGCGTCAAGGTCTTAAGTGCCCAGAAAACGCCTGCTAAAGGATACTTTAGAAAAGTGATGAAAAAAACCAATACTATTTCCTATTGACAAGATCAGCTCAAGGTATTCACTGGCACTGGACTCAGGTGTTAATGCTTGCTTTAAAAAAAAAAAAAAATCATGTAAAATTCATCATCTAGAATCCTGACCTGACAAGATACACTTAGTATTTTATTCCATAAGAGATACTAGCTTGAATTTGGCAGAGATCACAGTCTTAAAGAAGTGTCAGCACCATCCATTTAATACCCTAATGGCTACAGCACATGCAAAGGAAGTTAAATACCTAGATTTAGTGCCTTCCTCAGCATAAGGGAGTTCAAACATACATCTCCACTTTCTAAGATAGTACAATGACTCTTAGTTTAAGGATGCAGAGGTTAACTACATCTCTTTCAAATTAAAGCTATTCAAATGTGGGGGGGGAGGGGGGAATCATAATTCAAGAGGCCGCACACAGCACACAAGAAGCCACCAAACCACATGCCATACTAGACCGGTGGTGGTATTTTCTAAGCTGATCCTGTCAGTACATGTTTGGAGCAAAACACTACAACCAAAACCTGCTTCTCAGGAAGAGTTTGGGCAGTCCTGCAAGAACCTAGGGGACACCAAGGTCAAGAAAGAAGACATGTAATGAGCCAAAAAGTACCCAAATTTAGATGGCCATTGAATGGAGGTTTTCTTGGAATGTAATTTGAGACTTCAGTGGCTGAAGTCCATTTATCTCCTTATGTCAGTCCAGCTGTGATTTGTTTCGTGTAATTCTTAGAGACTACATAGGATTGACATTCCTTCTGTACAACAGGGCAAGAGAAGTACTTGTTCTGGAGCTCACAGGGCTTGCATTTGCACCGCCACAGACAGACATAATTACCTCTGAAGTGTAAGATAATAATGCCCAAGACAGGAAGAAAATACCTGAACTCAAATTCAGAATGAATTTGCCTACACTAGTACTGGAGTATATTTAAAGCAGCTCCAGCCAGCATACGTTGTGCTAAGCATTATTCATATTACCATCATCAATTAGTTAAACTGGTGCTACTACATTATTTCTGTAAGTCTGAGCTTATATTAACAAATTACATCAGTTTTCACTACTGCCATCCAAGAGCTTACAGGAAGCAGCAAAATCCATCCGAAACTTGTCTGCTGTTTTGTGAGATTTATGAGCGACTGCACTGGCAGACACTGAAACTGTTGACAGGTGACAATAAGGAAAGGGTGTAGCAGCTCAGTGTATGGGGAAGTGCATATTGTAGCAGCCAGGAAGTCCAAACAGGGAACACACAGAGAAAACAGAGTATTACTCATTTTCCTCCAACACTGGAAATGAAAGCTGGCAGACATACTGCCAAAGACTCGTCTGTAAAAACAAACCCTGAAAAAAGTCCAATGACAGCACATGACTCACATGAACAGAAACTTTTGCATTACCAAAAGCTTTCGCAGGGGTAGCCTGCCCAAAGGATGGGCCTGGCTGGAACACTAAACTACTTGCCATAAGTGCCTGAAGCTGTATTTTCAACTCTATCCCAATATCGGGTGGCTAGAACCCACGAGAAGCAGTTTAGAGCACAAAAAAATTAGGCTGTAACAGGTGACGGCGACTTACACCTCTTAAAACAAAATTCAGCACTATTAAAAACAAAACAAACAAAAA